GTCTAATTTATTTTATACTGAAAGTGTTGCCAGTTATATTATGGGGTGAAAAAAACCCACAGAATTAATTGTTTCATGTGGCTGAGTAGTATTCCATACAGTAAAGACCATGGCATTTGATAGAAAGTGGATGAATATGTATGATTTAATGCTAAGTGAAGCAAGCCAGACTATGAAAGAGAGGAATTGTATGTCCCCACTTACTGTGTACTGAAGATCTGCACACTATAGCAGAAACTGAATGATTAGAAGGTATAAAAGCAGGGAGAACAACTGAGGATACTATGGACAGTGTGGAAGGGGGTAGACAAGATGGGGTGGAATGGAGGGAATCAAGAGGGGGTAAACAAAACATTTAATGGACACAAAATGGAAAATTATCTGTTGATGGTAATGTGTATGGTAATACCTTTGACTGGACTAATATGCAGTATACTTGTGTCTGGAAAGCTCATTTTGTACATTGTAAATACGCACAGTAATTAAATGTAAAAAAAAAAGAGAAATAAAAAAGGAGGACTTTTGAACTTCTTCTTATCAGTCAGACTCTCATCTATTTCTTATTTTCTAGTTTCCCTCTTAAGTATAGAAGAATCAAGATTTCCTAGATGTCTTGCCACAAATTGTCATACGGGTCCTATTGATATATGTATTCTAAATGATATATGGAAAACAGACTCTATTTTAACTTTTCACACCTATGCATCATTGTAAGTGTATATTATAATATATGCATAGTATTTATAAGCAGATATACTTTCTTGTTAAAAATACTTTATTTTATTTATTATTATTGAATTTTATTTTTAAAATTTGATACAAGGTACACATGCTCACCAGAAGAGAGAGAGAGAGTGATAAACTAAGCCACCAGGTCTGGGAATCTAAACACGGTCAGCCACGTGGAAGTTGAGTGCCTTAACTATCATGCTGGCACCAAGCAGAGACACTTTCTTAATACAGTTTTTTTTTTTTTTTTTTTGAGAGATTTTCTCTATAGGGCACGTGCGCTCGCCAGACAGACAGAGAGAG